TTCCAACTCTATGATTCTGTGATTCTAGGAGTCCCACCACCTGCATTCAGGAGAGCCTGCTCCCCCCCCCCGCAGCAGTACTCAAATCTTTGTCGCTATTGATGTTTTATATAAGGATGAGGGGAGACGTACAACAGAATTCTATAATGAAGGAACAAAAGCCACAGTTCTGTGGCCCAGTCCTAGAACTGGTTGCACCATCACTGAAGAGATCAGAACTTGCAAAGAGCCCACACAAATCACCACAAAGTGCAACTGATTTCACCACCGCCTCCCACCCACCCTACCTATCTAGGGTCCATTGTCTTCATCCACAATGCTTTGCTCCCTAGTACTATTATATGATTGAAACCAGTTCAAGTTAGCTGAAGCTGCCTAAGTGAACAATTGTCAATACACACCTACTTGACCAACTCTTAAGAATGTTTAACAGGCTTGCTGGGGCAATTCATTAACTTTAAAAAGGATCTGGTTTATCATCCACCTCAGCAAACATAGAAGAATTCATGAAATATCTATCTACCAAAAGAATCCCCAAATCCTATAGTAATACATTTGCTGTAGTTTTCAAAGTGCTACTCAACTGTTTTCCCATTTCTTCTCTAAGCATTAGCTAGTTGGTTGGCCCTTTGAAACTGTATCACACATTTTAGGTAACAGCAAAATGAAAAGCATGAGCATGTAGAGTGCACATTCCTTGCCAATGTTCTCTCTGGGCTGCACACAGAGCAAAAGGAAATTTTAAAAGGCCTCTGATCTGCATGTCCTCCAATGCTCCCTCTAAGCTGTGGAGTCTTGTAAGCAAAAATTCTACTTTGTGAGCTACTGGCATTAAAGTTGTGAGCAAGCGATTTGGCTACTGCATAAATTAGTCTGCTCTGGAGCCATCCTTCTTGAGCTAAGACAAAAATGTGTGAGCTGGAGGATAAAAAACTGTGAGCTAGCTCAAATTAACTCAGTTTAGAGGCAACACTGTTCTCCCCAATCTCACTTTCCCTCCCAAATGTAAATCAGAGCCAAGCAAGTATGTTGGCTCCAACAGAGGCCTCGCAGTCTGACTGTTACTACATTGAAAGTGGGTGGGGCCAGCCAGGGTTAAGGACTATACTTCCTTTCCTGACAGACACCAAACATATTCAAGGATTGATACGTGTTGGATATCAAAACCTTAGTTATTAATCTAGAGTGAAAAGAAAGAACCAAAAACCTTTGCAGATCACAATTACCTTTTACAACATCAAGTGTCCTTCAACCCTCTCAGCTGGTCAGATGGACAAAATAGCCACCTTCCCTAGATCTCAGGTCAGAGGTCTGTCTCCTCTGATGGATCCAACCGCAAGAGACCTTTTCTTCTCCTTGCAAGGAATGTTATCAAATCTTTCCCCACCCCCTTGACCCAGGCCATCCCAGGTTAAAACCATCACAGGATCATTACCCCATTCACATCTCTGAAAATCATTACCTCTCCTTCTTGAAAATCTAAAATGGATTGGAAAACATTTTCATAAACTCAAAAGAGTTCATCACTATTGCCTGGTACTGGTTGGCTGGGGGAGGCTCAGCCTCCCCTGAAAAATCTGGGGAAGGCCTGAGCCCCAGAGGGCCCCGCCCCCCTAGTTTATGCCTATGGCCCAAAGGGTCTTACTACACTGACCTGGAGTCACATGGAAGTAGAGAGCAGCATTGAAAAAGACTTCTGCTCTCCAAAGATTAAGCAAACATCACTAAACAATTGATTCTTGGGGAGCCCACCAAGAAACGTCAAACAAAAGGAAGTTTGTTCTACAACTTCCACTTTTGACACAAGAGACATGAGCCCAAGCCTTGACCTATGTTATATAAGATAGGCAATGCAATTCTAGGCAAGTCTACTCAGAAGTAAGTCCTACTATGTTCAGCACTGCTTACTCCCAGGCAAGTGTGACTTCTAAACTGCATAGGGCTGGATCCTAGGGGAAGTGAGTGGAAGGCTTCTGCAGACAGGTATTTTTTTACCTCCCCCCTTCCCCAGGAGTTCCCTTTGACCCATACAACTGCTGCTGAGAGTCAGAGGACTTTCATGGACAAAATGCCTTAGGGCATGGAGGATATTGTGAGGAGGAACAGAACAAACTTGTACCCATCTCCTTCTTCCACTATCAAAAATTCTTGGAAGTTGGGGGTGATTTTGTCCAATTCCACCTTCTCTCTGCACTGGTCCACAACCCATGGACTTTGGTCCAATAAGCTATCCCAATACCCAGCATTAGTATTTGAGGAATCAAGCAGGGACAGCTGAAGGAACAGAAAGGCAGGAAAGATCTGCATCCATAAGTGCCTTCTCCTTGTGGTTCATAGGATCCAAACCATCATCTATAACAGAACTGCAATACCATTCTAATTATACCCTTCTTACCCCATTGAGAGCTTACAAAAGTGTAACTCTGCTTAGTATGACACTGCTAGTCTGGTTCTTCCTCGGTCATTCAGATTGATACTTTATTGCACAACATGCTTCTGTAATAACTTCTTTTAAAAAAGAACTGAAATAGATATGCAAGAATACTTTATTTTTTATTTATTTAGAAATAATAAAATAAGACATAATATATAATATATATATATATAAATCTGTACAATCCATGATTTGTGCAGTATGTTAGGAAGACTTTGATACACAAGGCTGAAAACAGGAAAATAGTAAGGTAGAACGATTGTCAAATGCCTATTGGTTTGTTCACCTTACAAACTGCTGCAGAACAGAAAATCCATTTAGAAGGGGAAGCTGTCTCAGGTTGCCTATGTGATGGCAACTGTGCGGCATTCTCCCATCTTGCAGATGTTCAACAGCAGCTGGCTTTTTAAAGACATTACAGTACTTCTCAACTTTATCTTGTAATCCCCCCTCCACAAAAAAGACATGAGAACAAAAATACCAAAATCCTTTGTCTTTGCCAAATGAAAGCATGTGCAATTGAATCAAGAGTCAGAAACCAAAGGTTTCTGTGGCTGAACAGTGTGTCTAAAGCACAGCATATATGAAGTAATTTTCTTAACGCAATAAAAATTGCACACCAGACCATGGATGAGAAATAATGGGGAGTTCATTGCCTACCTTGCTTGTGTCCTGTGTAAGGTAATGTTAGCTCCATACAAGAAAAGGGCCTCCATTCAAGTATTTTAGGGAAGAGGAAAATTAACTACTTGTCCCTTAAGTCATGAACTCACAAATATGAGTTAAGTATGCAATCCACATTCAAGTCAGTGCACGGGGGGGGGGGGAATTCCCAATTATTTAAGTGGTTTATAACTGCATCACATATCTCAACTGCTGGAAAATTTGCACAACTGTCCCTTGTTGTCAGCCACTTTAAAAAAATGCCCCATATCTGTAGCTTCACAACAATTGCAGATCCTAGGCTGAACTTCCCAAAGCACGTTCAGTTTTCAAGCTAAACAGTTAAGGGCTGGAAGGTACCATGATACATGTGTACAGTGAAAGTTTCTATCCTAGCAATTGCAACATGCAGAAACCAACAGGTAAAGACAAAGGGTTATTTGAAGGGGGAAAAATCCATAAAAGAGTGCAATAGATTATCCACTCTCAAGCAGTCTGAAGGCTGGTAAAATGACAATAGCTTAGAAAAAAAGAAACAATCAAGTTAAAAATCCATGCCTAAATAAATAACAAAACCTCATAGCACTAGAAACCCCATAAGGCTTGCAAAAACCATGCTATCCAGCAGCATCGTGGGTTCTGACTGATGCCATCTTGGCCTTTTCTCTTGTTCTCTTTTTAAACTGACTCCTATTTACATTTGGCTTTAAATATGAAAATACTTCATAAACTTTATAAAAATGTACATTTGTGTTTTAAAAAATTTCTAAATACACCAAAACCCTGCATCTTGGAAAACAAAAGTCAACTCCGCACCAGAAAAGAAGAAAATTAGATTTAAAAAAAAAATCCCTTTGTTGTCTTGTTTTTTGATTTTTTTTTTAAAAAACAAGAATATTCAACACTTTCTCAACCCACCTTTTCCTTTAATGTCTCAAGACTTGCAAGTGGGAACTTTGTGCATTTTGGAGAAGTTTCCTCCATTCTTTGTTTCATATGTCACAGAATACTCTTTGGTTTGAACTTTTTTTTGTCCTTTGCAAGAATATCACAATAGCAGCACAAGTTGCGTTCAAATGCTTTGTTTCTCTGATCCAGAGACTCCAATCAGGTTGCCTTATATATAAGTTCCCCCTTTTTAGCCTTAGTACATGGTACATAAACAATATCTGGCTTAAGATAAAGCAAAAAGCAACCTGTCCGCATTTGCACTATCCAGTGCTGCAGTCTACTCGCTGTCTGCCAAATACCACATTCCTGCAATTTTCCCTCTTGGAGGCCACAATTGTCCACCAATGTTTATTTCCAATTGCATTAGAACCAGAACAAGCTATTTTTAATGGCATACAGTGAGATCCAATACTGTAAAAGAGTTGGATTTTGATCCCTTGGTGTCAATCCTCACCTACTAGAGGACTCACACATTTATAACCTGTGGGTACAGCTAAAATGGTACACTTGATCTTAGAGGCACAGAGAGTTTTTAAAGCATTCTTGGCAAGGGATCCACAAATACCATTAAAGTCATGGTTCAGCAGAAGGTAGCAGAAGCAGTTCCAAAAGGCTTCAATACAGATATTGCATCCACTAATCATTCCATGGAGGCATATCAAGTAATTAAAAACAAAGAGGGAACTCTTTTACAGTACTGCTCCTTTCAAACGAGTGATTTTTCATCAAACAGCTAGAAAGCTAGCACAATAGGTTTCTATCATCCTAACCTTGGCAATGAGACAGAGTCCCACAAAATGCAGAGAGAGAAAGATCCTTACATTGGATTATTCCATGGCTCTAAGTGTCTCTCCTAACACCAGCATGTTGCTTTGTTCACCTGATGACTCTCACCGAGCTAGTGTGTACTACCGAATCAATAGTTTCTTGACGATGTCTAGCAAGACCAAATTAGAAACAGACTGAAAGTTAACTGGATTGTAATCACCTCCCAAAATGCCACTCCACTTGAATACAGTTGTATGATCTAGAAGCTACTTTGGAATGTACATGTGACTTAACATTTGACCTTCTGCCACAGTCTTGCTGGTGTTTAAAACAGGAAAGAACAAGATGTTTGCTCCTCTCTGCTTAACTTTTGCTAGAATAAACTAATAGTTCTAAAAGTAAGGGGTAGCAGAAAGAGCACCCTTATATTTATCTTAAGCTTTTGTTTTTAAATAAGGTGCACTGAAAAATACTCCGGACATAAGGACCTTTAGGGAGGAAAAATAGGCTGAGAATAACCTATTTTTCTTATGTAGTAAAAGCAGCCTGTTCTATTTAAATAAAACGTTCATTGTGCAAAAGTGTGCATTTTTCTCTTTGGTATTCACTTAGGTAGTTTTGAAATTAAAACATATCCTAGAAGGGGAGGGGAATCTCCATCCCATTCCCAAAAACAAATTAAACAATCTTGCTATAGGCTACTGCATGGCCTTGTGTTACATAATACTCCTTATGTAACTGGATAGTATCAGAGAGAAATTGATTCTATCTACCAAACTACTGGCCTCAACAGAAGTTCAGACTCCCCAGCATTATCAGTCATTTTGATTGATTGACAGAGAGCTTTGAAACTAACAAGTTCAATGAGGGATTTTTTTCTGTTTCCTTTTTAAGAATATATAAAAGAAAAATGAAAGCTACACTACAACAAAAAATATTACAATTCATGTTCATGTAGTTAGCAGCAGGTTTAAAAATAGTAATAATAAGGCAGTATCATGCCTTTGTTATGCCATTAAAAACATTCTTGTTCCCAACAGAGAAGCATTCTGGGGGAAAAAATAGATGTCAAATGATAAAACTCAACTGAAGCTTGCCTGCAAGTTCAAGTTTTGTAAAAAAATATACATAATTTATTCTACAACATATATGTGCCTTCTAGTCACACACAGACATAGTGCTTTACATTCCGCTTTTGCTGCTCCTCATCTGAAGACAGCACTTGAAACCAGCCTAGGTTGACGCCTTAGGGCTGTATGCCCGTTTCTAGGAAACAGTACCGTCATCTGCAAAATGGCCACCTCTCAGCACAGTATGCCTGTTGCTGATGGATTTTATAACCACAGCGATTTTTTTTGTCTCAGTCATATTTCAGATTCTCGTCTTAAAGGCCTAGGTTCTAGGGGCAACCCTGTCTGGCTGTGGTGGTCCGTGTCTGGATGGGTATCTGTACTTGTGCTCTCGGGCACCCCATTGTCACTATCATCTTCATCTTTGCCTGTCATGACCACTTCATTCTCATAGCAAAATGAATTTGCATTTGAAAGGATGTATTTCTTTTCTGCTAAGTCTCTGGCACTACAAAGGGGTGTGTTCGGCACTTCATATGTTTTGTGGAACCTAGAGTAGTCCACTTTATAGTAGTTTTTCTCTTCAAATAGTACAGGCTCATAACGATGTCCCCAGAGGATTTCATTTGCCAGATATGAACTACGGCACTGGGTTGTCATGGCAGTGGCTTCTACCATGCCTTCTAATATTACAACAATTTCAAAGTCTGCATTCTCCATATCTTGCTTACTTAAGTCATACAAAGGGCTTTCTTCATCTATTTCATGTACAATTGTAATAGGCGAGACCAAAAATATGCGATCTATTCCACTGTCAAAGCCAACATTGATGTCTATTTGATCTAGAGGAATGTATTCTCCTTCAGTAGTGATCCGGGATTTGAGGAGTTGGGCTCTGACATGTGCTTCCACCAAGTGGCTTTTGCGCAGATTTCCAACCCGCCACATCAAGCACAGTTTCCCATCCCTCATGGCTATTACAGCATTGTGGCTGAAGATGAGAGTTTCATTTCTCTTTTTTGGTTTAGCCATCTTAGCCATGACAGCACCAATGATGAAGGCATCAATGATGCAACCAACTATTGACTGAAAAACCACCATGAAGACTGCAATGGGGCACTCATCTGTGACACACCTAAAGCCATATCCAATCGTTGTCTGTGTTTCAATGGAGAAAAGGAAGGCTGCAGTGAAGCTACGCACTTCGGAGACACAAAGTCTTTCTGTTCTTTCTAGGTCGCCATGCAATAAGGCAATCAACCAAAACACACAACCAAAAAACAGCCATGAAAGGATGAAAGCAAGACAGAAGACAAGTAGCATCCACCTCCAGCGGATGTCCACACAGGTGGTGAAGATGTCTGCTAGGTAACGTTGTCCTTTTTCACCCACATTAATAAACTGGACATTGCAATGGCCATCTTTCTTGACAAACCGGCTCCTGCACTGCTGCCTGGTGTGTACCTTGCTCTTCCCATTTCCAAAGCCATTGGCAACAGCCATTGTTGCCAGCTTCATTCCGTCCTCCTCTGAGGAAACTATGCTGTAGCGGTTGGTTCGCACGCTGCCCATTGCTTTCACTGTGGACTGTGGTGCTTCTGCTCTAGAAAACAGTCTGAGTTTCTGCAGAACCCTTTGGAGAAACAGTTTTGAATGTTCTAGTGGAACACACACACAGGAAAAAAGAGAGACGTCAGTGCCTCTTTCAGTCCCTGACTGTGCCAAGGAGGATCTGGGGATCGTCAGTGCTAATTTAGCAACTAATCATCTGCCACGAGGAGGCATGGCCTGTAGTAGGAAAGAAAAAAGAAAACGTGTGTCAACAATTGTTAGAAACACTTCTCTATTTCTCTGACTACCACATGGCATAATATGGATCCCAACCATGTTAGTGTACTCAGACAAACTCAGCATTATCTGTAAGGAGTACAACATTTATTCAATGGCAAGTGCACATCGTTGGGGCACCAAAGGACTGGGTTTCTTGTGTGTTTTAAAAGGACACTAAATGGCTTGCATTTCTACACATATTAGCAAAAGTAGTCTATAAAAGGTGTTATATTCCAGCAAACACGGTATACAAAAATTATTCTTAAGTTAAAATACTGAGTTGAATCTAATGGTTCCTTTATGTTAATGGGTGGAGCCTTCTTCCAGGGTAGGGTTGCCAGCTCTGGGTTGGGAAATACCTGGAGACCTCAGCAAGATGTAAGGCCATACAGTCCACTCTCCAAAACAGCCATTTTCTCCAGGGGAACTGATCTTGGTTGTCTGGAGACCAATTGTAATAGTGGGAGATCTCCAGGTACCCCCTGGAGGTTGGCAACCCTACCCAGGGTACACAACCTTCTCCAGTGTGTTCCAACAGAGGTAGGCTCTTTGTCCTGGGGACAGCTTAATTGTTAGAGGAACACAAGCATACAAAGCGGAACCCCTTTTAAGCTTTAAAACTACATTTCCTCCAATATCTATTGCTGATATTAACAGGATGACATTCTGATATCCCTGAACTGGGGATCATTTAAAAGAGTTGCACCAGGTTTATTCCTTTACATTCAATGAGTGTTTACCCTGTGCCACATCATTAAATTTGCTTCCTTAGTAAACACAAACCTCTTAGAAAGCAAATGTAGAATTTAGTTTTCAGTAATTCAGCAGCGAGTCTGCAAAACTTCCAAGCTGATGGTTAAATTGAAACAGTTTGATGCTAGTCACCCAAAGCAACATCTGTTGTCATCTATGCTAAAGCTTATATGTTGCTTTGGTTGACTATATATATATATATATATATACATAATCTCAACAGAATGTCTCAATCAATGCTAATGATTTTTTTAAATTATGCTTCTTTTAAATTATGCTCTGATGACAAAATTACGCTTCTGCAAGTGGTTGGCTAGCATGGTTACCATCTCTTGTATCTGGTTAAAAGAGCTAAGGTCGTATAGTTTATTCATGTTATTAAAAAAACTCAAGTGAGTAATGATATGCATCCTGATCCCATGCATTTTCACTTAGAATCATGACCCACTTGTGTTCAATGGGGCATTCTTCTAAGCAAGTGGCCTTATCCAGCCTTTCACAAGTTTCAGTTTCTTTTAATGGTTTATCATTTCTAGTTTTATATCACTTCAGAAAAAGCAAAATTATCTATTTACAAATGCCAATGACACCAGCAGTAACCATTGCAATTTGATTTTTTAAAAAAAGTATAACCTGCCTTTCTGTTTAAAACACTCATCTTGACTGCTAAAGACATGAGCAAGTGATCTTTTATTGTGTAGTATATTTTGGCAGTCTCCAACAAACCAGTGGCATTCAAATGCATTTTAAGAACATAAGAAGAGCCCTGCCAAATCAGACCAGTGGTCCATCTAGTCCAGCATTCCGTCTCATACAGTGGCCAACCAGTTCCTCTGGAGGACCAACAACAGGGCACAGAGCCCAGGACCTTCCCCTGATGTTGCCTCCTGGCACTGGGATACAGAGATTTAGTGTCTCTGAACGTGGAGGTTCCCTTCAGTCACCATGGTTAGGAGCCACTGGTAGACTTATCCTCCATGAATCTATCTAATCCCCTTTTAAAGCTGTTTATTCCTGTGACCATCACTACATCCTCCAGCAGCAAATTCCACATTTTAATCACTCTCTTTAGTGCTTTAATTATAAAATAAGGGTTTCAACCTAATTAGGTAAAGGTAAAGGTTCCCTTGCTCGAAAACCTATTTAACAACTTTCCTGAAAGGCAAAGTTCATTTTTTCAACAACCACTTAGTTTTCAGTTTAGCCATCTAAGGCAAAAATAGTTTGCAATGTTCAGATACACTATTTTACAGTTAACTTATAAGCATGATGTAACAATCAATGCACAAGGAAATTAAATTACCATCTATATGTTTCAAACAGAAAAAGCTAATTAAAATAGTTTCTCTGTTCTGCAGAATAATCATTTTCAGAAGCCACATCCTAAAGCAGCTATCGTTTCACATTTCCATGTTCAAATTACATTTTCTTTCAAGTGAGTGGAAACACATATATTCAGTATGCCACCAGTTTTGGAGTAAAGTTTCCTTGGATGTGAAGGAAGGAAACAAGTCATCTATACAATCTGAAGGATATCTGTATCAAACTTTCCAAAACCACCTTGACCTCTGAGCTGTTATTGGAACTCCAAGCATCGCTTACACGTAATGCCAGCTTCCTATGAAATGTCTGCTGCATTTAGAAACCTAGAAATAGTATCAAGTATCTATTATTGTCATATTTCCACTACAGTTAATAGTAACTGTTCCATATGTTGTACATATGCATGCTATTATTAGCTAAAGGATTTATACTACTGCATAAATTATGTCTTGGGGAGGAACCTGGATCCCAGTTTTGCTAAACCAATCAAAACAAACACCCTGGGTTACAAATCCTTTCACCGTTTATAGACTGCATCTAAAAGTTTATGAAACAAAACTCTGGTGTTCACTTATATGTGCACACCACTAGTAGCTTTGGTTATACGATAACTATGCTTCTCTCTTTTAATAGCACAAATTGTCTGCATCTACTCTGAGTAACTAGGATACAAAAAGGAGAGGTGGAGATGAGGAGTTAACCTTCGCAACACATCTGAGGGAACAAGGATGATGACACAATAATAGAGACAAATTCCAAAAATGAATGGTAGAATTCCTAGTCTTGCTGCAGGAAGGACCAAGGCATGCATTTTTATGAGAGATGCATTGCACAATACAGCAGCTACATCTTTATATTGATCTCAGTTTTTCCTGCATAGCTACACTACAGATATAGGATTAAGCTAGGATTAAGCCCTATAAAATGCTTTGCAAGAGTAGAGGAAGGGCTGTGGCTCAGTGGTAGAGCATCTGCTTTGCGTGCAGAAGGTCCCAGGTTCAGTTCCTGGCATCTCCAGATGAAAGGATCAGGTGGTACGTGGTGAGAAAGACCTTTGCCTGAGACCCTGGACAGCTGCTGCCAGTAGACAATACTGACCTTGATAGACTGACATTCTGATTCAGTATAAGGCAACCTCATGTGTTCAAGTAGTGCCACAACAGTAAAATGGTTATTCCTTAGTCCCAAGGGCTCTGCTGTCTGCTCCCTTTCCTTCCCTCCCCTCCTTTCCCCATCACAACATACACACTCTTCAGAAATATCACAAAGCCTCAAGGTAGGTATCCAAAATCATATCTGGCAGTGCACCTTGTTCAGATCCTTGCATTGCTGGTGCCAGTCCTGTTCACATAAAAAAGATGTAAGAAGTGAAAGGCAAGAAGATGCCTGCAGGTTTTCCCTTTCCAAACTGTCTCTAGTCCATCTGCCCACCTCCAAGCTTCTCACACTCCATTTAGAGAAAGCATACACGGAATGTTTTCGCCCCCACATGCTGAAGACTTTTAAAGAGAGCTGGCTCTTCTACTACCCAATTAGAAGTAGATGAGCATCTTGGAGGAAGAAAGTGCAAATACAGCACCAATTTAAAAGCCCTTTACTGATTAAAGTGCCTACTGTGTACTGGATGAACCTGATACCTCCAATGTGCACCTTCTGAATAAATCAAGCCAATTTTTTTTTAATAATCTCACTTCCTCTTTAGTAAAGGACAGTGTCTTTATTTACAAACAGACATTACAAGCAGGTGTTGACTGATGAACAGTCAGACAATCCTTGTGTGTGTGTGTGTGTGTGTGTACACGTGTCAAGGATGAGTTCCAAATCTGAGTTTGCTGCTCATGAGGAAGCTTTGGGACACAATCAATCTCTGGAAGTTAAACACGTTCACATGTAATGGTTAGGAAAAATGCATTGCGAGAATTGAAGAGAAGCAAGCAAAACAAATAAATAAATAAGAGAGACCCAGGCTGATGAGAGATGTGAGATGGAGAGCAAGTGAGCGAGAAATCGTTAATGAGCACACAGCAGTTATTCCCCAGTTGCCATCGCACGCCTCTGCTGAGGCTGTGCAAGGCACATGTTGCTAAGTGAACGTAACTGCTACCTTCCAGTGCCCTGAGTAAACAGAATGGCCCTGAGCCAGAGCTCAGTCAAAGAACAGAGAATGTACTCCTTTGCAAGTTGCTCAGAATGGTCTTTTGGGTTGCTAATTACTGGCAGGCTATTAACTTTGACTCAGCTCCCCTTTTTTACGTTTTTGGTCAATGGGTTTGAGAAACAGGCAAGGGATGAATGCCTTTTCCTATGATCTCCTGCTCTGTTGCAAGAGATGGCAAGATATTTCTAAATTATGATAAAAATAAGTACACAGGACAGAGTCATCACCAGGGGGTGTAGTTGACAAGCTGCTAGGAGGACAGGAAAGCCAACGAGAGAGCAAAGGTAAGGCACGGAACACAGAAAATACACCTGGCTTTTAAAAAACAAACAAACCTCTGATAAGCAGAAATATTGCAGGGGGGAGTGACAAGGAAAAAGAGGTACATACTTTCATTTCTCAGCCTAATGTTTCAGCTGCAGGAGATGCTATAAACATTCAAGCTACAGTGCAAACCATTATCAGATGGCAACAGAGCCGAAAGGATTTCTTCTTTATTTC